TGCTTGCAGCGCTCGAGTCTTGGACAATCGTGATGCCGTAAGGTCAGGTTAAGGTTCAAGGCATGATTTCACGCACAAATACATCAGTCTCATGCTGGCATGGAGTTCAATCAGCGTCCTGGGATTCCTCAGGCTCACGTTTGTGGTCGCAGCATTGAGTGGCCTCGGGCGTTGGGCATCCTCCTTGCGAGTCTCCAGGCCCACAGAGCGGTTTTGGGAAAGCCTTCAAGGTGCTTCGAGGTGTGTTTTTCTTTCATTTCAGTTTAAACCCTGAACCCGATTATAAACCCTAAAACCTAAACCCTAAACCCTACTTGAGTTCAGTTTTTTCGGATGTTCTTGGGGGCTCTGGGCTCATGGTACATGGGGGTTAGGGTTTAGGGTTTAGGGCTTAGGGCTTAGGGCTTGGGGCTTAGGGCTTAGGGTTCAGGGTTTAGAAATAAAGTGCCCCAAATTCGGAAAGCACCACATAACCCTGGCTTCTGGGCAAAAAGCGCGAGGCTCAGAGCATCCTCAGGACATGCTATCCACTGCCCAAAGCTTGACCCACACCAACTGGGAGATTCCCCCAGATACTATTCGTAACAGTCCTTCATAGGGATGATAACCGGGGGTGCGATGCTCCTCATTTAAGGACTGTTAGTATAAGGTTCCTGGGGTTCAGTCACGAGAGAAGCTCAGGACCCCCGCAGCGGCCATGCCATTGTCAGTCGTACTTCAGGAGTTGTGTAGGACCGTGGCACAGTTGCCCGTTTCAGAGGGTTCAGCTAGGTGCAAGCTGTATAGGGTTGTTTAGAACTTGCTATCCAGGAGTCGTTACTCGTACCTCAAATCTCGGAGGTCATTGGTAATCCTGAGTTCCCGACGAGTTCAAATCATCCTATGGACTCCCCAAACACTGAGTCTGCAAGAAGGCCCAATGGGCCAGGTAAAGATTCAGCTGGACAGCATCATCTTCCGCACGGCGGTGTCCTTAGCATCGCTTACCCTGCATCCAAGCACAGGTGCCACAGACACAAAAGAACACCCTCAGCCCTCTGAAATCACATGGCATCATGCCTGCCATGTTTCTATCAACTGAATGGGGTCGGGTCCGTATCACTCCTCTGCTGTGGACTTGTGCAGCTTGCAGAAGTTTAGCTCAAGATCTGTCGAGAATGTCCATAGAGGTTGTAGGCACCTGAATGCCCTGTGAAGTCCCATTCATCGGTCACTATTGATTAGGCTTCTGGATACTGGGCTAGGATTGGCGTCTGAAGACCGAAACCCCAAGCTTTATGTAAGTGGGAAGTTCGAGAAACTCTGTTGTGACAGGCAGTGAGTGCTTGCGAGACCAGCATCGAAGGTGCTCAGTGGGCGCGTGCCTGACCTCAGGAGACACTGCGTCATAGTGCGGCCCAAGTCACAGGTGCAGTCACAGACAAAGGTCAAGAGTTTCAGGTTCTACAAGATCTTGGGTGGTCCGGTGCCCTTACCAGCCCTGCGTCAGAAAATCGCTCAAACTAACCTGGGCGCTGTGCGCTCCCCAGGTGCCTCATCACTGTTTCGGTCGATGCGGTCCTTGAAGTTGCAGGCTCAGAAGGTGATCAGGGTTTGTTGGCGACAAGTAGGGTCTTTTGGAGCCTTGTGGTGCTTTCGGCTTGAGGGTCGGGCCTAGCAGCAGGTCTGCTTGCAGCTGCAAGCTGATCCTTAAACCCTAAGCCCTAAACCCTAAACCGCGGAGGGGAAGTTCGAGAGCTCGAAGTGGTGACTTGTTCGAGTATGTGCAGTCTGATCAATCCTCTCAGATGAGCAAGGCAAGGCCTCTGTGTTCTGTATGGAAGGCAGATTCTCTCAAGCTCCCCGCAAGCAAGGTCTACTGTAGCGGCCTAGTGGCTGCAAGTTGAAAGTCAATTCCAAGAGTTGTACAGTGTATATAGCCTGTAAACTGTAAACCCAAACCTCCGAGTGTCCCAGCCTTGGCCTGAATGTCTGAGGTTGGAGCAGGAGACCATTGCACTCAACAGCGTGCTCAGTGCCTTCGAGAAGGGCAGGGTGCCCGGCAATACCTTTTACGGGTCTGCCGAGCCTATTAGGGTTCAGTGCAGGGTTCAGGGTTTAGGGTTTAGGGCTCAGGGTTTAGGGTTTAGGGTTTAGACAGGCCAGTCATGCAGGACTTTGTGCAGGGCTTGCACTAGGATTGCTTATACTGCCGAGTCAGGTCTCAGCAGCTGGCGGTTGTCGCAAGCAACTGTGTCACAACGTTGCTGTCGTTTTTGACAGATGTTGAACACTGCTTCGATGCCAAACTCCAGTGTCCCGACATTGGTCTCCTTTCTGTGGAAGGCTAGGAGGTTTCAAGGCGCAGAAAGGATCGAGAGGATCGGCCTTACAACAAGATCTTGCCAGCCTGCAGCACAGTGCACAGCCCTGTCAAGAGCTCCCCTGGATGTTGACGGCACTGAGCGTGAGGTCGAAAATGGCAACATGGCCTTGGGCTTTGGACATCGCTGGGCACTGCATCGGTGGTGGGTGGCCACCCGACCCAGCTCCCGGGTTTATAGGGATTTAGAGCTTCAGGAGGATGTTAAATAAACAGTAGGGTTGGCGGAAGCCTGAGCTCGAAGTACGACTTGTGTGGTTTGCACTTTGGGTTTCGGGCCGCGAAGCTCCGAGCTTCTGCAACCCCCCGCTCAAGGAACTTGCCGGCTGCATGGTGGTCTGTGCATGGGCAACATGCTGTAGGCCATGACGTGTTTCTACAGATCGCGGAGTGAAGGTTCAGAATGAAAGGACAGTTTGCATCGACCAAACATTAGACTCATCAGACATCATTACACCTCGAGGCCAGTTGGCGCTCAAGGCCGTAGCTGCGTCTGTGGGCCCGTTGGAGCCACTCGACCAGGACGCACTATAGGGCTGCAGGGTTTTCTTGCGTCGGATGGGGTTGAAGTCGGGGAAAGTGCTTCGTGCTGTTCTTCTATGAATCCCAACATTTGGTCTCTCCTTACATGATTGCCCACCTCTGCAGCACGGCTTGCAGTAGAAACCCTAAGAGCAGCCAAAGGTGGCAGCGGGCCATGGCCCTCTGCCCGGATGAGGCTGATGCGGTGTCTTGGCCATGCAGGTCTATACCAGGAAAAAGGGCCTTCGAGGTTTCCCATACTGAACCCATGCAGGGCCTTTCAAGGGCGTAGAGGCTACGCTTGCCCATCCTGGTAAGGGACTTACGCCGGGTTTCTGACGGGGCTTCTGGAAGGAGGGGCCACTCGGAACAAAATCTGCAAGCACCTCAAGCTTCGAAAGTCCTAAGGCCCTCAGCTGCCCAAAGGCTCAAGACTGTATATAAATAGGTCCTACAAACCGCATCCATCTTGCCCCCCAAGCGATTTCGGGCTTTTCAATGTAGGAGTTGAGCAACGAGCAATGAGCGACGGACCGGAAGGGGTTCGATCTCGTAGGGTGGCCACTGAGGTGACGTGTGAGGCAGTGATCAACACTTGCGGGGCTCTCAGCACCCGAACCCAAACCCCGTGTCGCCAGCCCATCTGGATTTGGACTTTTAAAGGCCTGAACATCGAAGCAGCCCCTGGGGCCAGCCTTCCAAGATTTCTTACCCCTTAAGCGGTGTTTTTGTTTGTTGTTTGTCGCTGCTCCGCAGTTTGCTGTCTGTTCGATCTTCACTTCTGGCTTCGGCACGGAGGTAGATTAGACAATTCCTTGCCATTTGACACATGTACGGGTGTGGGTATTCAATTCTCGTGTCTCAAAGCCTGTGTGCGAAGCTTATTCCGCAGGACCAGGAAGACCCCAACAAGTGCTTTCTTTCAAAAGCGCATTTCTACAGGTGGAAGACTGGAGCAAACCCTCAACAGCTCCTGGGAACCCTGAAGCCATCCCCCCCCGGGATGCTCCTACCCAGAAGAAGCCCAGATTACATTCCCCCCATTCACGTGCAATGTATGAAGTAGCAGTCTATAGTCTACAGCAACGGCTGCTCCCACCAAATGATATGGGTGCCAGCAATGAAATGGTGCAGTTTCCGGCTGTGGGAATGGCTCGTCTGACAGCCGAGGACAAGATCATGAAGAATGCAGCACAGTCATGCGAAACGTAAGCATGGGGTAGTCGAATTGCTCTGGATCAGGACCAGATTGGGCGCAATCAAGTAGCAGCCCGCAGTAGACCCAGAAGTCTACAAGCAGCACTGGTACGTAGGAGGCTGGAAGCAGCCCCCACAAACGTGGGATGCTTCCAGAGGTATTGCCAGAAGCGCTTTGAACATGGGCATCTCTTCTCGCCTCGCTGGCTGCTTCTCTTCGCCAAGCCTCAAAGCTTTAGACGAAGCAGGCGGGGTAGTGCTGCAGCAACCCAGACCGCAGGATACATGTTCAGGGCCCCTTCCAGCCGGATAATATTTTGTGCACAGCTGAGAATTCTGTGAGCCCTGGTCCTGTAAGTATCCTTTCATCGTGGATCATACCCGACACAGTAGGGGCCACGGAGTTTAACGAAAGGCTCCAAGATCTCTCTAGATAGGCCCTCTTCACGCCACTACATTCACTGCCAGTAGCCACCAACGGGGCATGATCGAGAGTGGGTTCTCTCTCACCATCCAGCGGAAGCTTTTTCTTGCATGCATCCCCGCAGCCTGTCCTTCGCAGCCTGACCCAATGCGACCACGGACTTTCCCTTCTTGCTAAGACCTCATTGTTATGATGATTACGATTATTATTCTTACTATTATTACTATTACTACTACTACTACTACTACTACTACTACTACTACTACTACTACTACTACTACTACTACTACTAGTATTATTAGTATTACTACTATTTTTATATTCAGCACATGAGCGTGAAGCCCCAGAGTCGGCTCAGACCCTGAATCATGGGCCCCTGTACCGGCTTCGTGCTGGCAATAGAAAGAAAAGGCCCCCAGGAGCATGAAGACCCCAGCAACACTTCAGCCTGATTTAGGGGGGCTTAGGGTTTAGGGTTTAGGGTTTAGGGCCGCCATGGCTCGTCTGCTTGCGTCTTCCAGAAATGGCCACAAAGCTTTGGCCGTTCTGCTGTGTTTCTGGCCAGCGCTGGGCCAATTCAGCGACGAAGCTGCTGGCTGCAGACGTCAGTGCTCGTGTACTTGGGGCCCTAGATGAGTCGTAGGGTTTTCTCTTGTTGAGTGAGCAGAAGCCTGGCCAAGCTTTGACATAGTACCGGCATTCCTGGCAGCCGCTAGCCTTGACAGTAGACACCGCAGATCCGTAATGGCTTTAGCGGCATTATCGTTCTCTGTATGGCGACGAGGCATCAGATTGCAGCTGCACGATACCTAAAGAGAAACACTTCAAGAAGAAGCCTGGTAGACACCACTCGGAGTTCCTGCAAACCTCAGGGGTTAGGGTTTAGGGCTAGGGTTGGGGTTTAGGGTTTAGGGTTTAGGGTTTAGGGTTTAGGGTTTAGGGTTTAGGGTTTAGGGTTTAGGGTTTAGGGTTTAGGGTTTAGGGTTTAGGGTGAAGGTTTCAATCGAGGCACTGAGGAGACCTGGCCACTTGCTCTGAACATGTGCCCTTCATACAATCGAGGTTGTCGAAGATCTTGCTGGGCGACGCTTGGCCACAGCCGCAGCCTGGCCAGAATTTCGCCCAAAACTGTCTGACTTCCTGGGGAAGGGGGGGGTGGGGGGGGGGAAGGGGGGGCTTAGGGTTTAGGGTTTAGGGTTTGGGATTTAGGGTTTGGGGTTTAGGGTTTCGGTTCTAGGGTTTAGAGCACCTTGCTATCATTTTTGAGTCTCATGATGTTGTGGCCTGGGGATGTTCATTTGGTTTGACGTGTTGAAGCTAAACCCTAAACCCTAAACCCTAAACCCTAAACCCTAAACCCTAAACCCTAAACCCTAAACCCTAAACCCTAAACCCTAAACTAAGTTGAGAATCTTTAGGGGCATCCCCCAAGCCCCAAAGGGACCGGGGAGATTGTGCAGCCTGACCCTAAACTGGGTCCTTGTTGACTTAAATTTTACATTTTGTTATCATATAAACCCAATAAGGATAAACAAGGATAATTTTTAATGGAACCCCAACAAGGACCCAGCAAACCCTAAACCCTAAACCCTGTATTTCGGCTGCTTTCCTCATTGCCTACCACCGGTTCTGAGGCACTAGGTTCGCGCAAGGCGGAGTCTTAAACTCGACACAACAACAACTAGTACCATTTTAGGGTTTAGGGTATAGGGTTTAGGGTTTAGGGTTTAGGGCAACAGCTACAGCTACAGCAACAGCATAGCCTCAACTTCCGCGACTAGACCATGCCAAGGCTTCAAAAGGGTCACCGCCACCCAAACCCCGCCACACCCCTAAACCCTAAACCCTAAACCCTAAACCCTAAACCCTAAACCCTAAACGCGAGCCCTTCCTTGCCCCCCTGGAGAAAGTCAGGATTTGCCGGAAGGACTGCGCTTAAAGGAGGCCTGGTCCGAGTTGAGGTTGCAGGGTTCAGGATTCGGGGTAGTTTTTTTATTTGTATATCTAGTACAAATTATATATACGTATATATTTATTTTTTATTTTTATGTATTTATTTATTTATTTTGTTTATTTATTTGTTTATGTACATAGTACGTTACTATTATTGTTGGTATTCTTCTTCTTTGTTATTATTGTTATTTATTGTTGTTATTATTATTATTAGTAGTAGTAGTAGTAGTAGTAGTAGTATCATTATTATTGCTATATTATATTATGTTAGAATATTTTCCTATGTCTATAATGTTATGTATCATAAAAATGAGAAATATGTTATTGTGGGAAGGAACGGAGTTCAACCGCCAGATGCCCACCTTGAGGGAAGACGCTCAGAGCTCTTCTAGGACGTCCCTGTGACGGGCTTGTCACTTGTGATCCCTAAGCCCCCATATGACGCATGAACCTCAATTTTCCGTGGTTTTTGTGAGCCAGTTTGGAAGATTCGGGTCTGCCCCCCCCCCCCCCCCAACACGGAGACACCCTGAAAAGCTGCCGTAGGCGCTGAACCAGAGCCTGGACTTGACGATTTTTCCGACCTGGGACTTGCTCCTCCGATGTCTGTGGTGGTACAGTAAGTATCGGCTATGGGACTGAGTGAAGGGCTCGGCACTTGTGATCAGAGAGACCGAAAGCGTTTGGAGATCAGCGGCAGTTCTACAGGACCTGAGCGCGCAGGTGAGAGCGTGGGGACATTTGGGGACATGCAGCTGTGAAGTGGATTGCATCCTTGCATCCCTAAACCCTAAACCCTAAACCCTAAAACCTAAACCCCAGCTGGCCCAGATGGTTTAAGGTTCACCTTCGCTGTGGCGCTGTTCAGGTTTGCATCGGCTTGCCTTGTCCTACTGCTGAGCTAGTTATTAGAGTAACCGTTCACCTTTTTGGGGTACTAGAATCCCCTTGTAATCCCAAAGGGTCACCTTTAATTCCCCCAGGTTTCTGGACAACTAAGCTGATTATGGACCCGAGGTTCCTAGGCTTCAGTGACCGGCACAAGACCATCCAGGGGAAGATGACCGTGCTGCTGCTGTACTACGCAGAGACTCTCAGGCATTCGCCGGTGGTAGCAAAGAGTTCTGAGAGTCGAAAACGCTTCATGGCCTGTGAACTTGGGACCCTTCATCCTTGGCCATTTGCAGCATTAGCAGCCCGAGATGTTTAAGCATGCTTGAAGACACTGCTGAAAGAAGCTGCACCCCGCAACGCCCCGTTTAGTCTATCAGCGGAGACATCGAAATTGTGGAGCCCGGATTCGTTTCTGACAGGTTCGTTTCGAATCCGCAGCTCATTGTCAGCGTCGACAATTTCGGGGATGGAAACCGGCGCCTTAGGCAGTTCAATCTCCAATCTTTTGGTTCGACGCTTTACGATGTTGTTGATGCTCGTCGGGTTTATGACTTCGGTAGCAGCAGCATCTCCCTGAAAGCAGCATCTCCCTGAAGAAGAAATATGGAAGCGAAAGATGGCGATTGCTAACCTGTAGGCAGCTCCGAGATTTTAAGTTTCAAGCGTTGAGATCTTTGAGCTTTTTGCGGGGTCCGGAGCAGATTTGCTTCAGCGCTGTTCCAGCTTTACAAGGATTAATGGAAAAGTAAGGAACAGTTCCTAAGTTTCGAAGGTTAAGCACAAGCGCCTGCCTCAATTTCGAAGTGAGTCAGGTATCTGCAAGGAACGATCCAGCTTGCCGACTCGAGTGGACGTGACGCATTCACGACCAGCAACCAGACTCAGTGGATGGTGGTGTGTCTTGAGGGTATCGCGAGGCTTGTGGGGCTTAGGGATGTTTAGGGAGTTTTATACACCTTTGAAAAGATGCCGAATGGACAGCTTCTGATCGGGAGTTCTCTTTGGGAGATTGGGCTTCAACTTTCACATGCGATCGGGTCAGCTTACTTTCCCCCAATGCTTCCACTTTGCATGGACGGGTTTAGGGCTTAGGGTTGTTCTCTTGGCAATTGAGTGTTTTTTCATCCTTGTTCAGGCAACATTTATGTTGGGGACTTCTCGCAGTCGAACTTTGACCATCTCTGCTTTCCTTTCGATGACAAGACGGTCAGGTTCGACATTAGTATTCAGAAGCCTGGGAACTACATCTTCGACCTCAGGCTAAGTTGTCCTCCGCCTCTACTGGCCGAGAACCAAACTGTCGATGGAAAGCAGATCGTCACTAAGTGCACCTTTCCTGCTACGGGACCCTCCTTGGGCTTTGACTGGGGCAGCTTCGTTTGTCAGGCCGGCAGAGCGTGAGTGTCTAGTCAGGGCTGTCTACAGTCGTGCTATTTCCCCTTGGCTGCGGCACTCAATCCATTCTGTGGAGACTCTCCGTTTTGCAGGGAGGGGTCGAGTTTTGCGGTCCAGAGTCGGCAGCGTTTCTGTTGCAAGCGTTAGCCCTAAGCTCTGCCCAGCGTTTTGAGAAGCACCAGGTTCAGACCGGCGAAGCTTGTTAAAGTCCCTCCGAAGGCGTGAGCTCCTAACCAGTGCAAGACCCTAATGCGCCAAACCCGGAAAAGTCGAAAAACAGTCGGTAGCGACTACGGCTACCGCGACGGCGACGACGACTGCGACTGCGACTGCCTGTGCTGCCGTTGCTGCTAGCTACTACTGCTGCTGCCGCTATTACCGCTACATATTTATTATTTATTTAGCCCGGGTTGCGTGAGGCCGTGGACACGAAATTGGTCCAGTGCTCCATGACCGGGGTCCGCGAGTGGATGAGCATCTTGAAGGCTGCTTGTAAAAACAGGTCACTCCCAAAGAATGTCCCAGATCCCTCTTAAGCCTGCGCCTCTCTACCTTTGTGTCGAGTTCTCCTTGCGCCCTTTTTTTGGTCCCTAAACCCTAAACCCTAAACCCTAAACCCTAAACCCTAAACCCTAAACCCTAAACCCTTCAAAGGGGTACCTCTGGCCATCCTTCACCTTCAGCGCCATGGGCTTCATCTCCTTCACGCTGAGCGTGAAGATGGCGATGCCAAGGGCAGCCCGATCCGGCGTTCTCCGAACGTAGGGGGCGCCTTACTAGGGTTCTTGTGACCCTAAACCCTAAACCCTAAACCCTAAACCCTCTACGATTTGGGGGGTCTATTTCAAAGGTGCCCCTATTTTCGTGAGCCCGGTGTTCTCCGGTGTTCTCCGAACTTAGGGGATGCGGTATATGGGGGTAGCCCAGTGGTACCCTTTCCCTTCTTTTGTTTGGTTCAAGGGTCCGTTATAAAGTAACCGACCCAAAAAGGGGTGCCCTAATTATAATATGGTTACTGGGCTACCAAGTAAGGGAATCCTACGATTTGGGGGTCTATCTTTAAAGGTCCCCTACGTATTTTCGTAAACCCCCAGATGGTCCAAGACAGGGCCTCTGGTAGATAAGTCCAGGGGAGGTGATCTTGCGTGTGCTGAAGGGATGACGCTCAAGGGGCCTGTGGAAAGTGTCCAAGGGATTTGGGGGGCTGGAGAAGGGCTTTAGGTTTGAAAGCATGTCGGGATTCGGGGACTCACCAGCGTGGTTTCTAGGGTTGAGGATTGAGACTTTGAGACCCCAAGCCTTCTTACTGTCAGGTAGGAACAACGATGCTAGCATTGATCTCCTTGACCAATCTGCGGAATGCATTGATGGAGATGCTTCCGGTGTCGGGCGAGACAAGTTGGTTGGAGGCGCGATTGCAGAAGAAACGACTCGCGCAGTTGCTGTACCGCCTAGTTCCTAGCATATGTTTGAAGTGACTAGCTGTTCCACTGCACCAGAACGACTCTGAGCCGGCAACCAATCACAGCAATTGGAGCAGCCTTGCCTTCATTTGCAGGAGTATTTCTTGATTGCAATGACCTTCATGCTTCTGAACTTGTGTGGACATGCGATTTCCTTCTACTTGGACGGCATCGGCAAAACTGACCTTCAGCAGATGATCAACAAGATAAACTTGTTTGGCGACTTCTTTCGCAGGTGAGCTTGTTCTACTGGCAAAGGTATGCTTCAAGGTCAATATTATGTAAAGCACAGTTTATGTCGGCTTGTCGGTGCATCATGGCCAATTGCGCTTGACAAAACCCCTTCACAAAGGTCCGCGTGCTTGGATGTTGTCACAGCTAAGTGTATCTCAAACAACAGCCAATGAAGCCCTTGCCAGCTGTCCAAGACCGAGCAGTACAAGGGACCACAAGACGGCCAAGCTAGAAGAGGGATAGTGTCTTGAACTTGAAAGCTAGAACGAGATCTTGGCAGATGCTGCTGTCCAAGCCCTACATCCCATCTAGGTTTGTCCGCCCAAATAGGTTGGGGAACCAGGTATCTAAGTATGCAACGTATCAAAAGTATCAGAATATGTCTCTGGTTTAGTGCGGTTCTTTTGGTCAAGCTAAGGCATGGTCTCTGTTTCCCTGGTCACTATCTCGTCCCGCCTCCATGTGCGCGACTGTCCTCACGTCAGCCGCTGCTTGACAAATGCAAGGATAATAAAGGGCTCCGAATAGTTGCCAGTAGTATCCCCTCATGGTCCCTCTATACCAAATACCCCCCCCCCCCCCCCCAAACCCTATTCTCATTTGTAAGGCCCCTGTATATTTGCTGCGTTCCTTCTCGGGTAACAGCCGCGCGGCAGAGGAGTGACACCGGTGATGCCTATCTTGTACGATTGTGTGAGTGCCTTACCATCTAGCAGTTAGCCTCGTTACTTGGGGGGGCGGGGGGGGGGTTCGTCAGATGCTTTTTTGATTGGCAAACCACCTAGTTTGTTCATCTCTTCTGCTGATGTGAAATTTTCGTGTAACCTCAACATCCCTCAGCCCCGGGAGGATTCCCCAACGCTTATTTTGTGGCTAGCAGACAGGCTCGGCGTGATAGGCTTCAGGAAACTTCAAGATTGTTGGATTAAAGACTGTAATCCGTGACTGTGAAGGCCAGCTGTTCACAGGAAACCTGTGCAGCCAAAAGCTTTCATGGCGGTAGCTAGCTCAAACTAGAACAGTGAAGGAAGCTTCGCATCAGTCTCTGGGAGATTCGCTAGAGGTATGTTGTCCCTAGAGGGCCTTGATCCTAAAGCATCGACGAAAACCAAGGTGCCTTTAGCACAGTATTGCTGACTCTGACTTGTCTTCTGCTGATCGTCGTGTTCGTGGCCATCACCTGGATTTACCGGGTGGCCTGCCTCAAACGCAGGACTATTCCGCGGATTCATGAGCGTCTTCTAGACTGAAAAATCGGTTTGTGAGAGCTTGGGCCTAACACACTGAACCCTGACACCCTCCCAGCCCTCTATTAAACTCGAGGCCCCTTATTCTGGAGGTCCGGAGTGATATGAACGGATTGCGGCCCAGCAACAGATAGTCTAGAAAATGCCCACAATCACATAGATGCTCTGCTGAGCCCTACAGCCTTGACCGATACGAGCCCCAAGTCCTAAGGTACAGGAAACCTCCTGTAGCGTCTCCCTGAAAGTTCATGTGCAGTTCTAAGTAGGGTTACACAGCCTCATAAACGCCTCACAGAATGTTCTGGCTCGGATTGACCAGTGATAGCTATTGCTCACCCGACCCAAACAAACTTTCATCGCTTTCCCAATCCCTCTTCCAGGTGATGTCTGGCTCCTTTGTGTAAAGTTTTCGGAGTTTGTGCTGATGCGGAGAGCTGTGTGGAGAATTACAGGACGTTGTAGTTCCTTGGGGAACAAATGAACCCTAAAGTTGGGGGTATCCTCCTACTAAGGTACATGAACCAGACACCCTTTTAGGGGTCATCTGGTCCCCAAAGTTAGAAAGCAGTCCAGTTGTGAAGGATGGCGGTCTCGCACTTGTGCTCGCCTGAACCAAGGACTCCTTCCGACACGTTGGCCAGATTCTGCACGAGTTTTCGCAGAGGAACACGCGCGTCGTGCCAGTCTACAAAGATGCAACAGAAGAGGATGATGACTAGCATCCGGGTTTCCACCCTTAAGCACAAGGAAGGGGCCAGAGCGGGACTGCACCCTAAGCAGAGTGTTTGGATACGGCAGCGAACCTGCACCTCCCCATGCCCAAGCCCGTGGAAATCCCCTGAACGCCCGCCACAAATGAACCATCAAACCCAACATAGTTCGGCGGCTGAGTGGCTTTCCATCCGTCGTGCGAACCCCGTCTGTTCACAGCGTAGATTGAAGTACCTCAAGCTGGAAGCATAAGACCCGCCAGCCACAGGATGACATAACCGCAAGACGGAGCGCAAGGGTTCAGCAATATGATAGCATATTGTTTATCAAGGTGCATCGAGGCATAGAGGCCCGCTTCCATGGTAATGCCCCATAAGCCCTACTGTAAACTGCAAAACGCCGCTGATGCTGCTTTCATCCTCCGAAAGAAAGATTCCAGGAATGGCAGTGGGCGCAGACCTAAAACAGGTCCAGCTAGCAACGCACTGGCGGCGCCGAAAGCAAGAGATGCCATGTTCGAAGGGTCAAATCATGACGCATCAGTTCCTCATGGCGTGACAGCCATGGAGCCTGCGTGAGTAGGCCAGACGTTGAACTGCTTGAGCCTCTTCGAGGAAAACAGATTTTCTGATATTTCATTGAGGGCGAAAGGGTCGTGAGGTCAACAAGCAACCATATAGGCGTGATGGCCAGATGTGGTAAGATGAGTCCCATCTTGTCAGACGGCGCGGCGCGGCTACGCATGTCTGGCAGAAGTAACTACGCAGCGCTTTCAAGAACTTATAGCAGCGCTTGCAAGAGCTTACACTATAAACTCCCCCCTACACCCTACACCCTAAACCCTGAACCCTATCAACCCCAAACCCTAAACCCTAAGATGCCCATCAGACCCGCCGTGCACCTTGGGTGGCGAGACGCTGAATCACAAGCTCCTCCGGCCCGTCGACCGGCAGCCTGGCACGAGTTGAGCTGTTCTGCGTTTGGGGGATGACCTCGAGTTGCATTAGGGTTTAGGGTTTAGGGTTTAGGGTTTGCATGTCCCAACTTGAAGCCCCACACCACAGGCCTCAACCTTGAACTCACGAAATCTTCAACCCTAAAATCAACTGTCCGGAGCCCTGCAAGCCCCTACTCCATATAAACCTTGCCAGCTCGAACCAGAAGCTGTTTGCGGCGCCACTGCAGGTGAATAAACTTCGGCATAAGAAAAAAGATTCAACCGCCGAAGGGTTGAACGACACTGAAGATAAGTTGAATCAATAAACAGTTGAAAGAAACATTGAGAATACCTGAACCAGTTGCATGGCAGTGATTGAAGAGTGAAAGCATGGAGAGACGGACCCATTTGCTAAGCGATCGAAATGGTGGGAAAAGGAAAGCCGGCAACGGGTCTGGTGCTCTGGCCTGCACAGAGGCCCTTGACATGTCAAGGCGAGAGAGAGAACGAATGAGCGAATTGAGAAACAACTTCAACACAGCAATTATGTTAAAGATCTTAGCAAGGATCACAGCAGAAGTAAAAGTTGCCGTAGTCGTCGTCGTAGTCGTTGCAGTCCACTGGCTGTGAGCGAAAATCACACCGTAAAGAGGACTTGCGTTAAGAAAACGTGCGAATCCTTTCAAACCTGTCATGCATTATCTACATGTAGCCTTGCAAGCTTGCGTTATTCAGAAGATCATGCCATGAAATGGATATGCGTCAAGAACACAGGCGAATCCTTTCCAAAAACCTGTCATGCGAGCGGGGGGGGGGGGGGGGTGGGTGGCAGGGCTGCACACCCCTCCCCAACCCCCCGCTTCATCTAGCTTCATCTATCTTCAGCCACTGCCAGCTTGCGTGAGAAAAGAAGATCATGCCATAAAAAGGGACCGGTGTTACCCCTTTGCTAAGTTGGAAGCCTTGCAGGCTGTTTTTGGGCAGAGACAGCCATGGTCCATGCCCTTTGCATACTCTAATCGGAAAACTTCTGCTTCCTTTTTGTTTAAACTTCCCTCTCCCATGTGGTGAAAAGGAGTCTCCAATTTCCCAAGAAGGGAAGGCATGCCGACGCCAATCCCTCAAGACCGGAAAGGCGCATCCCGCTTCAAAGCAAACCCTGCATTCCAAGACACCAAGCCCTGAACCCCTCAAGCTTGAGCACCTCGGGCTATTCGAAACCCACACGAGCCCACAAGAACCAAGAAACCCGCAACCCTAAACCCTAAACCCTATAAACCCTAAACCCTATGCTCCAAAGCCAGGCTTATTGCTTGGTTGGCCCAGTTCTCACGAGCCAACAGCGAGGTGCACGTGGTTTGCAGCCAAGGCAGGGCAAAGTCATTGGGATTTAGGGTTTAGTGTTTAGGGTTTTTAGGGCTTTTAGGTTTTTAGGGTTTTGTTTAGGGTTTTTAGGGTTTTTTTGGTTTAGGCAACGACGGACAAGGTCCGAATTAGGTTAGTTTTTGGATTGGCACGTCGAGTTGATGATGCCAGCGCAGCAGAAGAAACGGGGGTGCCGGGGTATGCGCTCGAACCCCCAGAGTTGCAAGCACGCGCACATGGTCAAAAAACCTCTTCATTAAGGAATAGACCTTAACTTAGAATAGGAACCCTAAATATGATTGAAGGTATATTCCTAAATTAAGGGGTTTTGGAGTCTCTGGGCACATGGTCAAAAAAAGTTCACAGAAACATCCGGGTGCGCGGTGGTAGCAGGATAGGATTGTCCCTCCAAGTAGCTTGACAGAATGAGAGTACCTGGGACTCCTGGGACCAGGGAGTGCATGCGGAGCTGTTGCACCTAGCTATAGCATGTCTGAAGGGTTTAGGGTTTAGGGTTTAGGGTTTAGGGTTTAGGGTTTAGGGTTTAGGGTTTAGGGTTTATCACCAGACTGTGCAAATAGGCTTCAGGGATTGCAGCGAGGAGATGGGTCGACGCCAGCAAATGCTGATACGGGCTCGCACAAAGAGGTCGCGCGGCCTGATCAGCTGCAGGCGCTGCTAGCTTAGCTAAACCCTAAACCCTAAACCCTAAACCCAGAATCCCAGCCTCTAAAATTCCCAGCCCCATCCTGGCAATCTAAGCTTCATCAACCTGAACTCTATCGGCGCAGAAGCAAGACTGAAAGCCCAAAGTGTATCCGTGCGTGTCAGCTTTGTCGGGTCTTCGGGGTCCGTGTTGGTGACCTGCCGAAGGCTTCGTTCTCCAAGTATTCTTTTCATCAGGAAACCACTTTAGAACGAAACAGCAAAGACTTTTGGAAGAATGCCTAGGATAGAAGTTGGTCTGCGGTATCCTGGTCCTTGGAGGGGGGTGTGCAGCTGGGGAGGAGTTTGGCAGTTCAGAGGTCAGGGGGTTCAGGGACTGCTGTAGGGTTCAGGTAGACAGTGTACCCGGTTGGCGGCATGCACTTGCAGCTTGCGGGCAACCCTAAACCCTAAACTTTAAACCCTGAACCCTAAACCCTAGGGCTGCCATGAAAGGATTCGAGATACCCGGCTTTGAGGGCTGAACGGGCTTCCCCTAGTAAGATGCAGCGTCGCACGTCGTGCTTGCGGCTAGGGTCGACTAGGCCCTACCCAAAGGGTAGGGCCTAGTGCTTGCTTGTAGCTGCAAAGCACCATGAGAGTGAACAATAAGCCTGTCAGGTATCCAACCGTCAGATGTAGAAATGAAATCAGGATACTAATCTACATCCCAGTGAGATGTGAGGGTGCAAAACATGTTGGGGGGTGGGGGGTGTTGGACCACAGCGAAAACCCACACACGCACAGCTTTCCCGAACTTGAGGCGAATGCAGATGTTGAGGATGGGAAGCAAGGACTGTCGCTAGTTGCTTTCCTGACGCCGCAAGTGAGCAGCTTCTGTTTCAAAGATCAACAATGGCAAAAAGTTTGCGTTATCTGTTGCACCATTGTGTGCGCTGCCTTTGCTAATGCAACCGATTCCACCAGCACTCTCGGACACAAAGTCCAAGCGAAGTATGTAGGCCGACATGGCTCGCAGACAGTTTCCTTCAAGCGGTTCCTTTTTTGTGCATATCGGCTCCCTCTCACAAGTCTGATCCATCGCCGGTTTTGTCCAACGGCAGTAAGATCACAGGTCAATGAGAATCATGAATATCCAGCGGGTTTTTTGGCCTATTCAGTGGGTTCAATGACTTGCTTTGATGCTCATTGGTATAGGTTTACCTGTATGCCTGGATGGCCAATCTGGTCTCCCTCCCCTAAGCAGCAAGTCGCGCACGCACACGGACACACACAAAGCCATGAATTGACCGTCCGAAAGCCCACAAGCCCAGTCAGTCAAAACCTCCGGCTTAAAACCAGGCCAGCACTGCAACGCTACACTAGGGTTTAGGGTTTAGGGTTTAGGGTTTAGGGCAGAGCACTTTGAATCAGGAGGTGGCCAGCCTTTCGCTGCAGAGGCCCGTGTTCGAGCAAGGCTGCAGCTGCTCGTCGGTTTGTGAGCAGCGTTTTCATCCTCTGGTCCTAAGGATCCATGTACCTATATAGTATATTCTTGGGCCCTAAAGCTACTATATAGGAACCCCTTTAAGGCCCAAGTATATACCATATAGGTTCATGGATCCTTTGAAGGGTCCTATGCCTTAAGACGTGTTGGCCCTGATTTACAATGTGGGGGTTTCCGAAATTAGGGTACCTTATTGGGGCTGCGTATTGTAAGGGAATCCTACTATTTGGGGGTTAACCCCCATGTAAGTAGAGCAGGTCCATGCAGGGAGTTGGAGCTGATTTTTTTGTGGTCCTTATGGCGTTGGCCGATTAATTAGTTCTCCAGTTGCCAAAAAAATGTGAGTTCGTTGAGCCCAAGAGACAACCACCAAGGCTGACATACCTGATTGTGGGCGCTGCCATCATTATCACCTGCAGCACAGTCGCACAGTGGGCTCTCTTCAACTCTGAACCCCGTGGAATCTTGAGACCATATCGTTGAGAACTGTCGGACTTCAGAAAGCCCGCGGCGCGAAGCTTCATCACATTTCGGTGCTTTAGGATTGTGCATCGTGACAGGCTTGCTACTTGAAAAGAAGCACAGTGCGCAAATAGCATTCGCTGCAACAAAAGCACTCAAATCGCCAACCTGACGAAACCTGAACCCTCCCAAGCCACGGGCAGCCCTCAATAGTTCTGGTGGATAGCTAGCTCTCACTTCGACACACTCGGTTTCCACTTGCCGGCTTGGGCTCCAAGGTTTGGAGTTCTGTGCCAAAATGCTCAGATTTCCCACAAAGCGCAACCGGCACAACCAGCAACGCCAAAAAGGCTACTACTTCCACTTCTTCGCAGCCTCCACAGAGGGTGGCACCCCGACGGTCTTGAGCTGCCGGTCAGCGTTCTTGCGGTACACCACTACCAGCTTCGGAGGCAAGTTCTCAGATGTTCTCAGACGTTCTGAGAGGGTTAGCTTGGTTAGCCTGATCCACCAAGCCGTTAAAATTTTAAAATGACAAAATCAAGTTATCGGATTCTGAACCACAAATCTGGGCTGTTCTATCACGGTAGCTTCAAAACAACAGCATATATATATATATATGCGATGTTTCAACGCAGCGTCTAGTTGTGGATCCTTGATGCATATTTCCGCGATTGATGCACATGTTTGGCCATGCAGCCTGTACTTGGGGTGATGCATATTCTCACCGAGCGAGGTGAGATAACTCTACCCTCGTCCTCGTCCTCCTCCTCCTCCTCCTCCTCCTCCTCTTGGGTGCCCAAGACCCTCCCTGAAAATGATGCCTCTGCCTCGAACCCTGCCAGACAGCCAGTGTGGTCTTTGGGGCAAAGAGTCAGGGCCCCAGGATTCAGAAGCGGCTTCTCATGTCCTTGTGTGCTTGAAGCTTACAGCGTTTCATTTGCACTCATGCCTGGAGATTCCAGAGCGGCCCATGTCCCCACACGGCCTCATCATGGGCCCTGCTGCAAATTCACAGTGCATCATGTACGAATCAACAAAAGGCCTTCTTGACTCTCCTGAGGTGCTTGCCAGGAGATTCGTGGATGCCCATGCGGTGCAACGGACTGTGCGGTTATGGCTTGTCCCATGACTGTTCGTTTTGGGATGTCTAGTAAAAGTACAACTACATCATATTGTGCACGAGCTTCTGTAGTTTGCAACACCGCATGAAGTGCATTTCTCACATGCCGACCTTTGTGTGCATTGCTGCTCTTCAACGATGGGCCAGTCAAGCAATCAGCCAAGGTTTACTCCAAGTGACTCCAGCGACCTGTTCAGAAGGGGTATCGTTGCTGTTGACGGTTTGCTGGGTAGGGCTTTTGGTTTCATTCTGCGGCAACCATGTGTGGCTTAGGAGACCCAGTTTGAGGGCTTCAAAAGTCCTGCCAGCTGTGTCGAGCATTAGTCGAGCCAAGGCATGGCCCCTCCAAATCCCATAGGTTATATTGCAATAATGACCATTTTCATACAGTCTTTATTCTTATTAATGATTATACAGACCTTAAATTTGGACTGCCGGGCAGTACGAGTCGCAGACCAATCCACCACAGCTCCTTCTCGGATTTCAGCAGCACCCCAAGCCCTGGTCACTTCTTAAACCCTCCTCCAATGGGTCCGGCCTTTTTGCAAGAAGGCAAACTGCTGGACAACATGTGACTCCTGTGTCCCTTCCGCTGGGATAAGCAGCTGCTCGTATACAATGTATGTCGATTCACGCTGAACCTGCAAAGAACGCCTTAGACCACCAGTCAGCACTGAACATCTTTGGCCAAACTGTCTCCACACTCCATGTGCCTAGAGACATTGTCCCCAAGCCCTAAACCCTAAACCCTAAACCCTAAACCCTAAACCCTAAACCCTAAACCCTAGACGCCTAAGCCATGTTTCATAATCCCAAGGAGTCGTCGGCAGCGGACCTTACAGAGCAGACTCACGCATCTGTATCGCTGCCTGGTCACTCAGCTCCAACATCACCTCAGTATTCTGATACAGCTTGACTTTGCCCACCCTAAACCCTAAACCCCTAAACCCTAAACCCTAAACCCTAAACCGGTTTAGGGTAGACTGTACAGCTTGACTTTGGCCCAGCTTTAGGCGGTTTAGGCGGGTTTAGGGTTGAGGGTTTTAGGGTAGACTCTAGGACGTCTTAGACGGGTTTAGGGTTGAGGGTTTAGGGTAGACTGTAGGAAGGTCCAAGGCTTCTTGGAGATTTGGGCCCTTGGGCCCTTGGATGTGGGATTCTGGGCATCTTCCGTGCCGGCAGTAGATAGGTATGGGTCTGTCAAGGCGATGAGTCGAGGGGTTTTTGGATAGCGTGGTTGATTTGGGGGCACGGCAGGCAAGCTCCCGTCTGGCACGTGTGGAAGGGGGGCTTCATGAAACCAGTGAGGTGTTGTGTGTTGCGCAGAAACATGGTTTTCCTGCTGAGACTGGTACCATGCTTCCCTGACAGATGAAATCGCCAGGCATGCCGGTGTGATCGGGTGGGGCGGCGGATGCTTTGAGTTGCGGACCCTTGGCAGATTCACAGTCGGAAATGTGTCCGGCAGTGCTGCTATACAGGCAACAAGCATGAGTGCGACAACAAGCACTGCAAACACAGCAACAGCAGCAACAACGCCACCACCACCAACAACAGCAACACCACCAACAGAAGAAGCAGCAGCAGCATTAACAGATACCATCAACGACAAGCTTACATTCCGAGGGCACGCAGAGGCACCAGCAGCAAGCCAGTTTCACGCAATTTGTCTATCTCGTTGCTGCAGTAGACCAGCCAGCACCTCACGCCTTCCGGTAAACTCTGAGGATAGGCAGCGGAGCATCTCGGTTTGATGCCAGCTTCCGTGAAGGGGTAGCGCCTTGGATGCAAGAAGTACAGGAGTTCGAGGCAAGTCCGAAGGATGTCGTGGGTTTGTTTTTTGATGTTTTAATCGCAGTCGCGCGCTACTTGTCAAGTACCGCCTGGGCCTTGTAGCAAGTGCCGTGGGACCCAGTCTTGAAGATCTTGTGGACCTTGGGCTGAGATAGAGTGTGAGTCCTGGCGGTTGTGATCTGAAACTTTGTGGCGGAGAGGCGCATGTTAGGCAGAAACTTGGCTGTGAAACTGCTGCTCGCCAATGGCACCCTGTGTAGACTTAGACTGCACAACTGGGATCTCCTTGACCCAAGGTCTCTTCACTGACCAAGTCGCACTTTAGCCGGCCTACACCACAAGCTCAAACCCAAGTCCCAAATCCTGGCCAAGCTTATCTGGATTCCCTCCGTTGCCCCGTTCCCCCCCCCCCCCTACCCCAATCCCAATGCCCTGCACGGCTTGACGAAGGAAAGCGTAACCTTCGACTCCTGGTATCCCTTCAGCTTAGAATTTCGGCCTGCCCAAGGCCGGCATGGTCGTTAAGGTGTTGCCTTTGAGGGGTGTTGGTGTAGATCCGTTATGACCTTTGGAACCTTAAGCTGCATGCCACAGTCCGTCTAGAGTTCAGTTCAGGCTTCCAGTGCTGCAGTAGTGCTTCCGGGGACCGTGTGGTTGAGGGTGGTTTTTTTAGATGGATGCGGCATGTCATTCTTGCTTGCGAGTTGCACTTCGAACGTGAGGGCGACGTACGTGCACTCAATTCACAGCTTCCTTGCTCACGTCGTCCCTCCCATCTCTTTATCAACGAAACGATCCAACTTCTAAGTCCGATTCCCCCCCCCCCCCCCCGCATCTTGGCTAAAGAGAGCTTATCTGCTCTACTTCTGAGAGCTGCCCCAGCTCTGGAGCTGATCCCAAGCAGGAGTGGTAGTCGGAATGCAGAATTTGACAACCTCAGGGTCGAAGGATCCGTCAGCCGGAACACATAGTAGGCGAGAAGAAGTCGGTCGAAAGGGGTGCCTACGTCCCAATCGTCTTTGAGAGGTGCCAGGAATTGCGGGTATGAAGCTGCACCGGGGCTGCTCGTGCTGAACGCCTGCCTTGTCGTGCCTCGGTATGGATTTCTGCCTGTCTGTACTTGACTCCAGGGTTTAGGGTTTAGGGTTTTGGGTGGGGTTATAATATAGGGTTTATATAGGGTTCAGCCACTTTCTGACATGTCTTCCACCGGGTATTAACATGCGGGGGATGGCACGGGCAAAGAGCTCGAGCGCCCCGTTTCAAGTAGTTGCTCGAGCTTGTAGTGTTTCAAGTCACCTCTCAGCAAAAACCCTAAACCCTAAACCCTAAACCCTAAACCCTAAACCTAAATGCTAAACCCTAAAACCAGCATCATCAGGGGCTGGCCTCGGCAGCTGACTTCAGCAGGTGTGTAGAGTGCACAGCGACCAATCCATGTGCAGATGACTTTGCACGATCACGCACGATCACGCACGCACGATCACGCACGCACAATATAACACGTGAGTATTTTCTTCGATGGGCTCGGATCTGTCAAAATTCTGAGACGCTTTCAACCCTGAGCCAATGTTGATGTGACCTCAAACTCCTTAGCTCCATTATTACAATGATATTTCAAATACTCTGACTATTAGAATTGCTATGATTATTTTTCTTCTATTATTATTCCTATCATCATGATTACTATAATTAAATAATACTATTGTTATGACTGCCACCTTCAAGGCTGGCTTTCTCTGGCTCCGCCCGCCGAAGCGGGTTTTCTACTGGACCATGATCACGACCTTCTGGTGGTATTGCGGCTGGGCCCTGTACTGAAGACCTTCCGAAATTTAGGGTTTAGGGTTTAGGGTTTAGGGTTTAGGGTTTAGGACTTAAACTGCAGATACTCGTCCCTCCGTTTGTCAGTTTGTATTTAGGACCTGTTTTTGCAAAGCTTCAAAGCAAACCCCTAAGACCACCTGCCGGATGTGAATTTGAGGAGTACTTGATGGCAGGCAGTGGCAGGTTTCGATGTTGTCCACCGCTTTGCGCTATCATGGCATGGCGACATTTGGGTCAAGACACAAAAGATGTCAAGAACTCTACTGTTTGGCCAAAGATTTCTTTGATGGGGGCCAAATCATATGCATGGCAAGATGATTACCCTGAGGCTGAAACGGCTCCCGTAGGTTGCCAGATAAAGGGGCTGCCGGTGCTTGTTGCTACATGGTGCACACTGCTCATTCAGCATCTAATTTCAAGCCCCTACACAGGCCGCAATATGGGGCAATTCGTTTTGCATCATTTTTCTCAGCCTTGAGGAGGCATCTGATGACCCCCCAAGTCCAAATTTCGGGTGTTCTCTCGTTCCATCCTCGCCTTTTGCCAGGGGGTTTTTGCAGGTCTTCGCAAACAACATGAAAGATACCCATGCATGCTGCACCCAAAGCCGTCCCAAACACCCTAAACCCTAAACCCTAAACCCTAAACCCTAAACCCTAAACCGAGAGAAGCTTGAAGCAACAAAACGGAAGCCACCGCGCCTGAACCGAGGTGGGCTCATCAGCCCCATGGGGCACAGGCCTGGGCACAGAAAGCATTTTTTCTTTCAATCAGTGTTTGATTGGGGTTGGTTTCCGGGAGCTCCAAACATCACCCTTAAGAATCCATGGCCAGCCACATGACACTGTGTAGTATCGTCATGGGCAGTTTGGGAAAGTTTCAAGATTTCTCTAGGCTCAGATTGCATCCGCAACTTTGCCACCATGCGCTCGGAATCGCGCCGAGCTTGCGTTCGGGAACCCTATACAGGGGTCCAGCATGTTCTGCGCCGCACGCCGTTTTTACAGTTGCTTCGATCCTGGTTCTGCTGCTCATGCGCTGCAGCTCCGAAATTCCGTGTCCCGTGCTTCCTTTCGACGCTGAGGGTTGTAAGGTTGCCGCTGTTGGGCTTTGAAGTTGTGCTTGAGAACCGACTACTAGGGTTGAATGTTCAGGCTGCGTGGAGCAGAAGCTGAAGAAACAAGCAAGCACGCTCGCACACACGCACACCCTCACGCGCGCACACACACACACACACACACACAGACATACATACAGAGACAGACACGCGTGCGCGCGTGCTCCTCCGAGGGATAAACGAGCCAGACAGTTGCCCGAAACAAGCGCCACGCTCCAGCCCTCACAGAACAGCTGCGTCGCGTCTCGATCACGAAAGCAGACATCTCTGTAGCATCTGGCCGTCATGCTCGTTCATTAGGTCAGTGGCTAGGTCTCCTCTTCCAAGCGCGCCATAGCTGCGGCACGGGCGGAAACCTTACTCTCAGCGTCGCACAGGGTGTTCTGCAAGAGCCGAGGAAACCCTTCAGTGCAGGCAAAGTTCATACAGATTTTTACACGGTTGAGGGTTGAACATTCAAAGTACCCTAAACCCTAAACCCTAAACCCTAAACCCTAAACCCTAAACCCTAAACCCTAAACCCATGTCTCTGCGGGCATGCGTCAGCTCAGAGTCGGCATTCCAAGTTCCAGACGCCTAAAACTGCAGCCTTGTGCAGGCTGGCGGATTTTTTTGTAGCTGTCAAGCCAATCCTTACCAGGATGGGCTATTATACCCTATAATCCCTTAAACGGCCCTTTATATGGTTCATTATGGGGATTTGAAGGCCTAATAGCCCATCCTGGTACCAGAATTCCCATGTATGGCTTTTGAAACCATCGTTCATGGTGCCTTTGTGTTATTCTTGTCTACGCAACATCGAGGTCTTTGCTACGCTGCCAGGTACCATTCCGTGTGAAATGTTGTTGAATCCATGTAAGCAGGTCGTGAGATCACGTAACCCTAAACCCTAAACCCTAAACCCTAAACCCTAAACCCTAAACCCTAATGTCTGCAAGCTAAAAGAGCCCCAGGTCCGTGGAGACCTGCTTTCAGTATATGGGGCGCTTTACTTATTTTGCCCGCAGCTCAGAGGTGCTGTTTAGGGTTTAGGGTTTAGGGTTTAGGGTTCAGGGTTTAGGGTTTAGGGTTTAGGGTTTGTTTGGTCAAGTTACGTGGGGCACATTACTGTTTGTCATTTTGCTTCTAAGCTGCAAGCTGTTGCATACACTTGAGATGAGTTGGCCGGACCATGTTTTCATCTTTTCTAAGCTCCCCCCAGCTTGAGACATCTCAGTCCCCCTCGGTGAGCTGCGCGCAACTCTAGACTAATAGAGGAAGATGGTCAAGGGACGGTCTCGAAGCACTATGTGCGCCCGGAAGGGACACTGTGCTTTGTACGAGTCTCTCTTACACCCACTCCATGTACACTGGAGTTACACAATGCAAGAAAGCTCTACAACAGATCATTCGGCTAGTGCCATACCTAGCCGCCTACGCACTTTCTTGCCCTGCTAGGGCATTCCCCCTCATCCATCATCACCGAGCCCGATAGAGTCACGACTGAGAGTAAACATGCCCGTCACACAGTGTGGCTCATCGTTTTTGTGGGTGTCGCCGGTCTCGCGGGACCTGCAAGGTTTGACGGTCTGGAGAGTTTGCAAGATTTGCTTGAGGTTTTGGATGTTGGGTCTTGCTTCATCTTGAGTCCTAGGTTTATCGGAGCCCAGAACACCACAGAAACATAAGGATCCTACAAGCAGGGTTGTTCGGAATCCCCCTAAAAGGGGCCCTTGGGCCCCTCGTTTAGTGTTGATCAGTGCACCTTTGTATTTGCGAGGTCTTCGGCGCTGAAGTTCTTTTGTGGCAGATCGGGAATGCAAAATGCACCTTTCCGGATACTGCAGCTGGAGCAGTGCTCGATGTAATTCTCATAGAATCTTGGCCTGGCTTGGTAAGATGTGCCGCAGTCCAACTTTTCTGTACAATGACTTCTCCGACTTTGTTTCCCTGATCCAGAGGGTGAACTGAACAAGCTGGGCATCGCTGGGCTAGATCCACAAAGCGCAGGGGAAGGCTGCCGCGTTACCGACCCTGAACAATTCAGGTTGGAGGTCTACAGCCACTCTTCCCCTCGAGGTTTATAGTATTCCTAAACTGCCGTGCACACATCATCGGTGCCCTTTTTGTTGGGTTCCCTGAAGGGGACTCTGTTCTATTTGGGGTAGAAAAGGGGTACCCCCCTTTTTGGGATCTCCCCCACATTGCTGCGCATCTTTCCTGGCCTTGTTCCATCTTGTGGACTTTCTCCAATTTTTGGAAAAATGGGCCGCAGGGACGACGAACCTTCACAAGGTCAACAGGCGACAGCCAAGGTTTTTACATGTACAATCTTGTACGTGGATGCTCTTCTATGAGGTCGGGTTTTTTTGGTGCCCTCTTCATTCTGGGAGCTTGTAGCATGTTTGGGGGCCTGCTGGGCAGGGCAGGTTTTTGAAGCTTCAGGCATCGGAGTAGGATCACGTCACTCGGTTGTTCCCCGTGTCCACGCCTCCGTGATTCTGCGACCTGGATTGCCTCCTGTAGGATCTTTAAGGTCATCACAATCTAAGAAATCTCGGGGTGCAAGCTCAGGAGATGTTGCCATTCATGGCTACATTACATTGGCATTTGCTCAGCGACTTGGCTTGACAGGCAAGCCTGTTTGTGGTGATGTGGAGGGGGAGAACGTTGTACATCCATCCTGAGCAGGCTACGTCGGCAGCTACAGCCTCAACGGCGCACTCTTTCAGAGTTGGGAGGGGCCCTTGGTGTTCCTTGTGGGCACCTTGCCCTCTACTTCCAGGGGGGAAAAAGGCTGAGACTGTCTCCAGTTGAATGTATATCCAGAGAGTCTTCAGGGCTGAGGGTTTGCATGGGACCTGAGCTAGTGTTGAGAGTCAGGGTCAGGGTGCGACGAAGGTTTTTGCAGAATTGATGCTCAAGCAGCGGAGTCACCTCTACAATGGGGTTGCAGTGGATTAAAAGCACTCCAGTGTTGAGGGTCGAGTTGCAATGGATTACATACTCCGGTGTTGAGGGTGGAGTTGGTCAGGTTGCACTCGCAGAGTGTTGGCCTTTTGCTTTAGGACCTCTCCGAAACCGTACCTGGTGTAAAATGGTACTCCGTGTAGCAGAGCTTCCAACTTACGTAGTGTAAGTTGTTGCAACAACAAAGGAGCCTGTTGATGAGCACCAAGCGGAGCGAATGAAGAATGCATCACCAATCCGGGCCGTTTGATGCACCAAAAAAGCCTTCATGTTCCGGGTGCAAATATCAGAGGGTTCAATCCCAAGAAGCCCGAACCTGCATAAATTGCAGGGTAGAGGCTAGTTGCAGGACCATGGTGTCTGTGCTTGGTACCTTCCGCGTTCTACATCTGTGCCCAACTTCTTAAACTGTTTTTGTCAGGCTTTCGTGCTTCAGTCTCGTGAGGAGCTTGTGCGGCCAGCTCACTGTGATTAACTCAAATCAGTTTTAGGGTTTAGGGTTTAGGGTTTAGGGTTTAGGGTTTGCTCGAAACGTCCTAGACACAGGTAGCCTCGTGCTGCTGCCTTTGGCCGTCGGTGTGCTCCGGGAATGGTGCCGTGGCTGTGTCAGCTCAGCTCTCTGCAACACATCCCTCCCCCCAAACCTGCATCCAGTAATGAGGAACTCACAGCCCACTTGCAGGCCAGGACTTGTGTCAACTAGACTAGCGACTAGGCCGAACGCCTCGTCCAAGGCCGCATTATCTTTAACCGTTTAGCAGCTCCAGAAATCCCAATCCAAGCGCTGTTCCGACAATGCCGGGCAGCTTTCGATTGACATGGCAAACAAAACCTGCGCAGACAGCAAGCAGAGGGCCAATCATGCTTCGACTCTTTACTTGCGAGCCCATGGAGGTCGTCTCCCAACCCCGCAAACAAGAAATCCCTTAGCATCCCGAGTTCAAGAACTGCCAAAATTAGGGTTTAGGGTTTAGGGTTTAGGGTTTAGGGTGTCAAAACCAAATCCTACAGTGTACCCAGGAACCGGGCTGGGCTACTTGGCTGGGTGCTGCGGCGTGTGCTGGCGATCGCAGCTTTGCTCCAGTCAGACCCAGAGGCTCCAAAACCTCTTAAATAAGGAATATGCCTTAACTTATAATAGGAACCCCAATATGATTTAAGGTATGTTCCTTAGTTAAGGGGTTTTGGAGTCTCTGGGGAGATGGTCGATGTGCAGGGATGTGTGGAGATGTGTACACCATATCCCCTTGGGAATTATTTTTCATTCTTTTTTATAAAACCCAAGAGGATATTGCAATTAGTAGTTTTACTAAGGTTCTAAGGGGAGTATAGTAGAGCCCTTGCTTGAGGTCTGGATGGCCTCTGGATGTTGAGGGCTCAAGTAGCCTGAGCGCCTTTGAGACGCAAGCAAAGCAGCTTATCCTTGCAACAGCCAAACACCCTACTATTGAAACGAAGCATGCCAGAGGACGAATGATGGTTTCAGTAGCGATGGGCTATGTTCGCGCGACAAGAAGCAGACAGAGAGCTCTGCGTCTGAATGCCCTGAAGCCAAAGTGAGTGCTGATGACCTGTTAAAGTTATGCTTTCCTTGCATTGCCGCTGCGCCACAAGCAGTGTTGCCTTAAAGTTGCCTTGCTGCAGCGCCGTGCGAAGTAGATGAGGCGGTGGGCATCATCCTATTGCCACTCGGACATGGCTTGTCTCTGACGTTGCACAACCCTGGGTTTAGGGTTTAGGGTTTAGGGTTTAGGGTTTAGGGGTTAGGGTTTATAGGGTTCGGCATCTCAAGTCCAAGCATTCACTAGTCAAGAAATTATTCGGAAAAACACCCCCGCCCAAAGAATCCCATAACATTAAGAAAATATTTCACTTATAGAACGACCTTGCCCAATAAGAAAAATGACCTTGCCCAGTAAAAACATGACCTTGCCCAGTAAAAAAGATGACCTTGCCCAGTAAAAAACATGGAGGACCTTGCCCAGTAAACAAATGACCTTGCCCAGTAAAGAAATGATCTTGCCCAGTTAAAAAATGACCTTGCCCAGTAAAAAAAAATGACCCTGCCCAGTAAACAAATGACCTTGCCCAGTAACCTTTTTACTGGGCAAGGTCATTTTTTTACTGGGCGAGGACCGAACGACCTTGCCCAGTAAAGAAATGACCTTGGCCAGTAAAAAAATGACCTTGCCCAGTAACTCATTAACATTTAAATTATATATGGAAGAGAGGTTTGGGGTTTAGGGTTTAGGGACCCCTTGTTTTGTCATTGTCCTAGTCTGGACAAAGACCAAAACGCTGGACCAAGCCACGGGGGATGTGTTGAGTTCGAGCGTCTTTGGTTTTGGGTCTGTGGCCAAGCAGGAGTTCACCCACCCCCCTCCAAAGCCCCAAAGACGGTCAGGTTGGAACCGCACGTAGCCTACCCAGCTAAACGAGGGCGATCATCTGTGTTTTCGCGCATTGCATTGTTGGAGCAAAGCAAACTATGCCCAACATATGGGGGTTGTCGGAAAATAGGGGTACCCTTTACTCTTTGGGGTATAAAGGGGGTACCCCTTATTTTGAAAATACCCATACCTGCACGCAGCACCCTAAACGTTGAAGATGAGGACTCTGGTGTTCTCTACGAGCGGGTTTGGACTGCACCTGCATCACTACTTCGTGACCAGCATGCAAGGAGCTTCAGTTCATAGGGGTTAGGGTTCGGAGAGTTACTGCAGAGACTCAACTTGTGGAGCTCTTCGGGGTTCCTACGTGGATTTGAACTTTGCTTGTGTCGGAAGTGGGAGAACTGAATGTTGGGTCTCCATGAGGAGAGTCACATCGACGTGGGAGTCTTAAGGGCTTTGTACATGGCAGGCCAAACCTCCGACAAATTCAAGAAATAGTTTCTCCTGTGCCCGCAGACCCAGAGACTCCAAAACCCCTTAAATAAGGAACATACCTTAAATCATATCGGGGTTCCTATCATAAGTTAAGGTATATTCCTTATTTAAGAGGTTTTGGAGCCTCTGGGGAGGCACCCACCACCTTGAGCTGTGAATCTCCTGTCAGGTAGCACTTGCAGCTTACTTTGGCTCGCGTGGCCGGTCCCGTGTGACAGCTGTGGCGCGTGCTCTGTGTTTAGGCGCCGGTTCGGGGATCTGGACTGTT